TGTCATAGTAAATGCATCTCTCGTGCAAAATCATCATGTTAGAGAGTGGTTACCAGGTAGCACTCAAGCTCTGTTGTTTATGGCCGTTCGTGTAAATTATTGATATTTATTTTAAAATATGGTTATCAACCTTCTTCAATCACGGCTGTTACTGCATACGTAACAATCTATGTAATATTGCATGGATCGCTGCTTATATTAAAACACGATGGAGTTTAAATTTCTATTTTACAAAATCAAATTCTGTAAACGCAATAACCAGGTTATAAATCATTGATATGAAACTGATTCTAGTATCAATTTACCAGAAACAGCAGCATTGTTTATTTTCACTAATATACAGGTGGGATTCATGGTCTGATGAACCTTGAATTACTAATTTTGATGTATTGTTTTATTCTGCAAGTCATGCATATCAAGTGCCATATTTGTGGACAATAAACTGTCCTTGGTGAAGGAGCCAAAACGTTTGCATGATTTTAAGAATGTCACCGATTAACATGCTCCTCCAGTGAGAATGTCACCAACTGACAAGTTCTATCATAGAAAATGACACTGATTGGCTAATATCTTCATTGAGAATGTCATCTATTGACCAGTCTCATCATTGATAATGCCATCTATTGATAAGTCTTATCCTTGATAATGTTAACAGTTGACAAGTACAGCCTCTACCCTGTGTGAGATAAATTGATCCAACCCCAGCGGCCTCCATGTGAAATTTGTCTGTTCTGTCACAAACTTGTTGTAGTGTCCAGTTTCGATGCAACGCATGTCCTGATGGGAGTGATAATTGTGTGTAGTTGTGTACTCGCGTACTCGAGAGTGCTATTTCATTACATATAATGGTGATTGAAATTATAGGCGTGCATATCTGCACTTCCTTGTCCCCGCACTCTTAAACCCGAGAATGACATACATGGACAAACATCTATTACTGTTTCTCATTGCCGTAGTACGCTTCTGTAATGTATACATATACTGTCAAGTCAATAGTACTTGTATAAGGTCTCAGGAGTTATCCCCCTTTATAAATTAGTACGCTCAAGTGTCTCTGTAACCATGATGTTAAAAATAAAACATGTTTTTGTAAAATGCATGTCTGTAGACATTACAGCTTCCGCAGTGTTGAGAATACCCAGAAGTGCTAGAATAGGTGATAATACTGTGTCTTTGGTAAATGAATAAAACTTGAAAATGTTTGTAAAGCCATGCATGTTAAAAAGTTGTCAATGCTTTTTGTACATTTACTCGTGCTAATATGTCTATTCATGGCTATTGTTACGTGTATTTGTAATTGTTGCAATGTCTTGTGGTGCTTCCAGAACCATGTTTTACGTAAATACAACGTCAAATACCCTTTTAGTTAAAACTTGATTTTATTCAAATTTAAACATCAATTAGAGATTATACAAATCAAAACAGGAAACAAAAACAAGTGTCATGACACTTTGGTATATTTATGTTCAACAGCTACAATAATAGCTACAGAAGTGGTTTGAACAAAAGAACAAACAAAAACGGTCAAAGAGAAAGGACAAAGAATTGGCATGCAGCGGTATCTAGGAACAACCGAATTTAAACAGTGACACTTAACGATCATGTCACCGTATATGGTACGTGAATAAAAAAAAAAGAAGAATTTTAGTGGACGTGGAAAATAATAAAACCATTGAAGCTTTCAGCTGATTTTTGCATTTTACATTATTTAATTTCAAAATTATTTTAGAAATTGGAAATATTACTTCCGGCTTTCCTGATTTCCGTTCTTGACATTCTCTTGGTTGACACACAATATTCACTCAATACAATATGGTGAGAGCTAAATTGATGTCTTTTTTTTGTTATGTTTTAGCGGAGACACTCTATGACATTCATTTCCACGACAGAAACTTACGAAGAATCGACAACTGTAATAAAATTAACGAGTGTGTTAGTATGGTATCAATTCTCTCCAAGCCATATCCTTACTCACATAATATCCATGTTCTTCTTACAAGACACTCAAATATTCCATGGCTAGACCAAGACATTCCTACTCAACGATTCACCACGTGATGATATTACGTCATGCATACCCCCGTCCTCGGCAACGTTTGACATATGATATGTAACACATGTTTTATTAAACAAATATGTACCTGAATATACGTAGACGTAGTATATCTCAACATGGCGTCTGGAGTTGATATTGAAATAACATGACTGAATCGCCCAATGCATTATGACGTCACACTGACAAACAAAACACCAAGCTGAGTCAAAACTAATATGGGAAAGCATGTTTCTGTAAAATTTACAAAATTATTGCTGGTGTGATAAACTGAGTTCTAAATTAACATCCATTCCTATTTGGATACCGGGCTGACTTTATCACTGCGTATGGACGCCACATGCATCTGCTCTTTCTCAGTATCGACTAAAGTGAATCTCTTCTCATCCTTAAGTTTCAGTTTCGACTTAAGTGAATTTCTTCTTATCCTTGAATTTTGGTGTTGACTAAAGTGAATCTCTTCTCATCCTTTAGTTTAAGTGTCGACTAAAGTGAATCTCTTCTCATCCTTAAGTTTAAGTGTCGACATAAGTGAATGTTTTCTTTCCCTTAGCCTTAGTATCGAGTTTGGTGAACAGAGTTGTGTTGTATTTCTGTACTTTGTCATACATAAGTCGTTTCTCGGCATTACATTTTTTAAAAAATATTTCTCACTTCATTGTTCTTTCCCGCTGAACATCGTAAACTCACGCCTTTATAACTCAAAGACCCTGTATAATTCGAAATGTTTCTTCGGTCCCTGCCAAAATTCACATTCAAATTGACTTCAATCGAAAAATCGGATTAGTTTCCCCACGATTTCGCCGACTTCGAGATAACGAGGTTCAATTTATATTTGTGGAACGTTGCATAACTTACTAGTTTCCTAGGAAATGGTTATAACTATATAAATAGGTAGTATAATATGAAATTATTTAGTGAATTATGATGTCATCCCTACTGCTTTACATTTTGCTAAAAACTGTTTCTGTCTCAAAAAGTCGTGAATTAGGATGCTGAATCATTTGTTTTTTATATATCTTAGTCTCATACGAAAGGAAATATTATTTACAAGAACGTAGGGACTGTAAGCCTGGTTTTCTTCAAACAAAAATTTCCCTGTCGCTCTAGACATTTTTGAACGAAATTCTTGGGGAACGCAGATGGCATACAAGTGCAGTAGAACACGGATAAGTCGAAGTCGACTGGACCAAATAAAATATTTGACTTATTCAATGGTTCGACTTAGCCGTGTTTCTTTGAACAAAGACATTGTGCATTGAAGATTGACCCTTTATTTAGAATATATTATCAAACGACATTTAAGAGAAAAAAACTAAAAAAAAAATATTTTAGTTTGATAATTATTGGGGGGGGGGGGAATTTGGGCCGTCCCTCTATAACAACTGAACAGCTTGAGCTGACTTATTAATGTCATATCATTACTGACCCAAAAGTGACAAAAAATTGAATGTATTTGTCATGGTCACCAGAAGGCCCAAACTGGCACTCCTCCTTTAAAGAAGAGAAAAAATCGGGGGGGGGGGGGGGGTCTAAACACTTGATTTTTATGCGTAATGATGAACCAATTTGCTCTCAGAGATCATTTAAAAAAAACCTGATATATACAAAGATCACATGTTCCTGGTGTATTTGTCATCTTACACTTTTGTGGATTTCATTAGATCGTGTTTTACTTCAGGCAGTAATCTTTTCTTTCAAAATAAAAACCATATTCGGAACTTATAGTGTATAACAGGGGATTTGAGGCAACAAAAAGTATGATAGGGAAAAGGAATGCTAACATCATTGTGGAAAAAAATCAGAGAGAATTGACGAAACATAAAGCAAGTTAATTTCAAGGCCCATTGGTGTTTGTCAACTCCAGCTATCTTAGAGGAATGCTGAAATCACGCTTACGACTCTGATAAGCGTCCATGAAATAATTTCATCCAGACAGAAAGGACATTTCTTTGAATATCATTACACGAAGATGGCAATTCCACTTATTTTCTAATAAAAACTATGATATATACTTGTGAATGTATAATGATAAAACCATAGCCTTTTCAACAGGTACATGCGCACTGTGTAAATGGTAACTGTACCTCGTATACAGATTGAACATGACCTACATATTTTGGTTGTGTACGACCGAATAGCTAATAATCCAATCGGTATTCTTACGGAGGAAACGGGGTAACGGGGTTACAATATTTACAAGTCATTGATCCTACTAACAGTCATACGTAGGTCACTATTTGTTAGTTTTCCAGATATTCTAAGTTCATATTCAACATGTTAGCTTAGTAAGTAGTACTACTTCAGGGGTATGAACGACTTGATTTCTCCGTTTGCAGATATTTAAGAGAGTTTACCACAAGTTCAAAATATAAATAGTTTGCAATGTTCGGTTAAATTTATTCTTTACTCTTAACATCAGTTATTCACTAATTCACTTATATAACCGCTATTTTGAAAGAAACACGACTTTTGCGTTAAAAAAAATAAAACTGATGTCGTACATTAAACAGACAAAGAAAGTGTGATTAGTGGTGATGAATGCTATAACCAATTTAAGAACTAAAATCGATCAGTAAAAATCAACTGATTATTTTTTTCTATTTATTTATTATTTTAAATGTTTTTCATTGTCTAATATTTTCATCTTTTCATAATGTTTGAATAAGTGTGTGTGTTGATATCATGAGTATGGCTCTATATGTGTAATGGGATTTACTTATTGCCGTCGCCATTAAGTTGACAAATCTTTCAAAGATGGTTGGTCGCGGCAAAACTTTTATCTTTTTCTATCATAACGCCGTATTACTACCAGCAGGTCATTTTGTAAGGACGGCGGCTCCTGTGTATAAATACTTCACAAAAAAGACGAGAACTATCAAAGATATATATATATAATGTGATATTTTCAACACAGGAATAAGAATAGAATATAGAAGTTTTCAGA